TTTCTCAAAACATCTGACAATGGTAAATTTGTAATTAAAAGTTTTCCAGAGTGTTCTATAAATTGTGTTTGGTTCAACAAAAAATTTACAGAAATATTTTCTATAAAATATCAAAACCTACCAAATTTTATAGAAAGCAATTTCCTCTCAAAATGAGAGGAAATCACCAGAAATCTGACACATACCATATTTAATTAAAAGCCTACCAAATCTTGTTATCTTGTTATTTTCTATAAAGTTATGAGCAATTTTCTTGTTTTGAACCAAACAAGCAAAGTACAAAAAACAAGAAAATTGGTACTTTTTGATTTCTCAAAATTTTTCCTATAATTTTTTTAAGAAATACAAGGAAATCATATTTTAAGTGGAAAACATTTCCTATAATTTCTAGAAATTGAACCAAACACTTATAAAATCTTATACGAGGAAAATAGAACAGAATCACCATCTATTTTATATTTATATAAATATTAACATTAACATATATATAAATATTAAAGATCAATACATGAAACTAAAATATCAATATAAATAGGCAGTAGGAAATCTCACGATAAGCCAAGCCAGTAGGCAGTCGTTCATTACAAGATCCATAAATATATGGATGCAACGAGCTATTTTTACTTAAAAGATGAATAAAAATGTTGATATGTTGGTAAACTATGTTTGAGTTTGTAATTACTTAATTAATCCCACGAGGGCTTTTACGTAATCCTGTTCCAACAGCAGCCGCACTTTGATTTTTTTTTTTTTTTTGGCCTCGGCATCAAACAGAGCAGGGATGGGGACACGAGGCCTAAGTGGACCCCGCCCACCCACCACCCTGATGTTGACCCTACACGATGAACTGCTGTTATGTAACCACACGTACACGTGTCCCCTCTTCTGACCCTCCAATCAGAGTCAAGGCTCCACGTGGGACACAGCCAGCTCAGCCTTTTCAGGCCCAGTGGTCCCCGAAGGCAATTAAAGGCCCATTTAAGTAACACGGGAATTGGTAGTCAAATACATTTAGTAGTCATTTATTGGGCCCATAATTACATCATTGAATGATATAGATAGGCTTTACGATAACAGTTCTCCCATCTTTAGTCCCCAAATAGACTGGTCCCGTTTTTAAAGATAAATTGGACCATTTCAGTGAGGCCATTTTTTACCATATTTAATTGGGCAAAACTACTAGATTTGTTTTTTTTTTACTTTATATAATAACTACCAACTTCGTATATTGTGTTCGTCTAACAATGATAAGATTTATAAAGTGGGACTCGTAATAACAATGTCTACTTTTTGACTGGATCTAAATTTTGGCGACTAAACGTCAAGTGATGCTAATATGGCTTCTTATCGTCGCCGGAGTAACAAAATATACAAAGTTGATATTTATGATCAATAGAATATACTAATTTGGTAATTTTACCAATTTCATCAGGGTAAGTTATAGACTTGCTGATTCTCGAAGATTCTAGACATTCAAATAATATTGTGACTGAGGTAGCAACCGGGCTAAATGGGCCGGACAGGATGACATTTTCCTATTTGTAATTCTTTTCGGAGTATTAGGAAACTTATTAGATAACCTCCCTTGCTTAAGGCTCTGTTTGGCAAAAGTAGCGGAAAGCTGCGAGATTATAGTTGAAAGCTGTTAAGCTAGTTGAAAGCTGTTAAGCTAGCTGAAAGCTGTGAAATTGTAGCTGAAAGCTGATAGTTGTGTAGCTAGCTGATTTACTAGAGTTGTTTGGAAAAAGTAGCTGTATAACTAGCTTAAATTTATTAAATGACTAAAAAGGACATGTAATATTATTGATATAAAATTAGAATTATTAGGGGTAAAAACGAAAGAAAAAAATTGGCAGCTCCTTCCCAAAGACAAACGCTACTTGAGGTAGCTTTCCAAAAGCTACTTGCAAAAGACAATCTTCAAAATAATCTTCTTCTATTTTTTGTCACCAAACAGCTCTACTAGCTTATTGACCAAATCAATAAGACATAATCTCTTAGATAAGACACAATCTCTTGTTGCCAAACAGTGCCTAAGTTTAGGGTTTACCAGATAACCCCCGTTAACTTTAAGCTTTTATAAAAAAAAATTCTCTCAAAAAATATTTTATAAAAAAAAATTGAACTTGGAAGGTAATTGAGGGTTGTTACTCACCAAATTATATATGCTATGTCGCCCACACAGACTTTAGCAGAATCATTTTTCTCCCCCATCATCTAAACATGTTCCAATTACAAGATTTGATTGATTAAATATGTCGTATTATCGGTCTAACATCAACCTTATGAGCCTCTCGGCAAGAAAATTACATACTAGTAAAAAAACATGAATTCTGAACTTGTACTATAAAATAGATTGTACGCTGTTGATTATATATAAGTTTCTTAGAAAAAGAATAAATATTTATGGTCATATTCTTATGTCAAACACAAAATATCACTTTGAAATAGGGTCGTTGAGGGCCATTTGCTGCCATCATTTATATTCATTATAAACACTGGAGCACAGGCACGTGCATAATGCACGCGCTAAAAAATTTATCGAAATTAATTCAATATTGATAATGATTTTTTTTTTCCGTGTGTAGCTCAAAGGAAATTTTATTCATTCATGGAAAGAAAGGAGTAAAGCTTTATTTAACAGATGCAATTTAAATATTTTTTTTAAAATTTTTGAGATGAATAGTCAGGAGATCTAAATTTGTGACTATCTATAATCCATCTCCAATTATTTACCATTTGAGTCATATTTTATGGCCACAATACTTCTTAAATGTTAGTTCTATTTTTATTTTTTATTTTTTATTTTACCTTGGTTTGATTAATTAAACTTTATATAATTACATAGAGTTTTGTTTATAAAAAAATTATATAGAATTTAGCTATGTTTATGGAAAATATTGATGAAAATATTCTAGAAATGACAAAGAGAAAAATGAATATTCAATTGTATAGCTTTGTCTATGTTATGGTAATATATGGATAGAATATTTTAGAAACAATAAATAGACAAAATCTCTTTTATTAAATTACATTTTCACTCTTTCAACCATAATAGGAAGAGGGATGTCCACGTGTGCACATCCTCTCAGAACCTCCCGCACCGTGCAGAATGTTCTCAGCCGTTAGATGTGGACTCGTGGGGCAGTTTGGTAATCTAATTGCTCCCTTGTATGGTTCAGAACCCCCGACATGATAAGGTGTTCTGATAGAAAGTTTACTCTATGTCCACCAATCATCCATATTTTGGATTGCCCTCACTTAAAAGCAACTAAGAGAAAAAATGAATATTCAATTGTATAGACTTTATCTATGTTTATGATAAAGTATGGATAGAATATTCTAGAGCAATAAATAGACAAAATCTCTTTTATTAAATTATCTTTTTACCCTTTCAACCATAGTAAGAAAATGAGTATGTCCATCGTCCATATTTTGAATTCCCTCATTTGGATCATTATATAGCAGTATGGATATATATGATAGCTTAAACCAATGCAACACGCCCGCCCGCAACACGTGTATGTGCTAGGCTGCTAGCTGTGTCAACATGGCATGATGAAGCGTTGAACTTGAACAATCTAGCTAAAGCTATTAGCTAGCTAGCCACTCATCCTTCACTTCCTCAGGGTGAGGTGTGAACAGAGGGTGTGAGAGAATATCTTATAGAAAACGACGTAAAATTGTTCAAAGTGTTGACAAACATGAAGATTCGGTAAAGACGTGGTGTCTGCCATACCCAGGTGTGATAGAATCTGTCATGTTTTCAGGGGTGTGGTGCGTGCTACACCCGGGTGTGGCAGACTCGTTTTCAGAATCCCATCACGTTTGGGATTTTGTTTTGTTATAAATAGAAACACGTTTTTTAGGGTTTCTTAAGGAGAGAATTAACATTGTTTTGAGCACATTGAGAGTGAGATATTGTGAGGGAGTTGAGAGCTTTAGTTAGGGTTATATTTGAGTGATTTTGTGAGTTGTAACCCGTTGTATTTCTCCTCCATATAGTGAAATCTCCCCATCATCTCCCCGTGGACGTAAGCAATTGCCGAACCACGTAAATTCCTGTGTTTGGTTTGATTTGTGTCGTATTTTGGTGAATTACACTCGTAATTTGGTTTGGTTCTCTTCTCTCATCGCTCACCGACTCGTTTGGTTGTCCAGCACGCTTCCGCACAGCGCACAACAATTGGTATCAAAGCTAGGTTTCAGATCTAGGGTTTTGCATTTGGGTGGAGGAAGATTCATTGTGGAAGCTTAGTTCTTAGAATTAGGCAATTGTTGAACCACGTAAATTCCTGTGTTTAGTTTGATTTGTGTCGTATTTTAGTGAATTGCACTCATAATTTGATTTGATTCTCTTCTCCATCGCTCACCGACTCGTTTGGTTATCAAGCACGCTTCTGCACGACGCGCAACATATATAACAATCTCGATTAACAATATTAATAATACATTAAAAAGATGCTCATCTTTATTTCAAGTTCTACTAGAATAGTATGCATGCAAGCGTGTTGTTCTGATCCATACACCTGGATGATGGACCAGAACAACCCACTTGTGTGCGGCTTGTTCTCACAAGATTTATATTCCTTCATCCCTTTGATGCACCACCAAATACCATAGATTGAGACCACATGATACTTTCTCGACTGAGAAGGAGGACGAGTGGGCCCATCTCGGCGGTGGCAATGGACCAGGGATGAAGCATGGTGGTTGCCATTTGTACCCGGGATGTACTTAAATAGAAAAGAAGGAAAAAAAACAAGAGGGGGACCATGAATTTGCATTTGCATTTCAATAGGATTGGATATTCCACTTGAGGAAAGATAGGATAATTGACAGTTCAATCAATTTGAGATATATGGTTGCGTTCGGAGCTGGAACTAATTCATCTAGAAAGGTTGAATGAAGATCGACCCCCAGTGTAAGGAAGCCTCTTCTAGTGCATATTAAATAAAATAAAATAAAACACTTTCTAAATGTTATAAAAGCAAACAATATACACGCAATCTCATAAACAGCAGTTAGCCAAAGTAAAATATAAGAGAACAAGAGAAGAGGGTTTTTAATTCTGTACAAATAAAATCACTCACTAGCAGGTAACTGCTAGTTATTGTTCTCATAAATATTGATTTGTATATAATATAAATGAAAAAAAAAAGAGAAAAATGATTGACCACCTCAGGCCGCAAATACTGAAGTTTGTTCATACCAGCACTGCACAAAATTGATACGTCATCAAAAGGCCATAAAACACTACAACAACCCATAAAAAGAAAATAATCACAAGAATTACACGGATAAGGAATTCATACTGTGAGCTAAGATTGGGATGCTTTTGCAGTTGGATGTGTTTCCTTGCTTCAGAATCTCACTGTCATCTTGGCTTAGCTTCACTTCCCTTGCTTCGGAATGACGAAAGAGAGAAGAAGGAACGAGGCGCTACAAGAATTCATCAGATAAAAGGGGGTCAGATCACGGCAATAGGATACCATTTTTTTTTTTCATGGGAGAAAAGAACACCTCATATTAAGCTAATATTATTAACTTAATATTAACAATATGAAGAGCAAAATAAGTGTCAATACGAAAAGGGTAAAATGGAAGTTTAGTACAGGAAAATTTATTTTTTTCCATCTAGACCAAGTATGGACAACTTTGGGTTGGCAGCTCCATGAATCTGTTCGTACTGTGTTACCACTAAGATAAGTTGGCCAACAGAAGAATTTGCTTTATTAATTCTACACAAGGGCCTCCGTTATGCTGCTTCTTCCAAGAAAATGTATAATTTGTATACGGTTATCGTTTGGTAGTCATTCATAATATGATACATTCTCCTAGGGAGGCTTCTCAAATTTCAGGTTGTGGTGTCTAATCAGCCTCTTTGATGGGAAAAAGTCTTTATAATGCCGGTGATCATAAGCGTATTTATAAATTATTACTAATATTTGAACCTTTGATTAAAAATTAGGTCAAACCAAAACCTCTGGATTTTACAAAGAGCATGAAAAGTAAAAAGTTCGCTCAGATATGAGAAAAACTGAGATGTTTATATATTTCTGGTCATCTTCACTTCAGATCTAAAGCGTCAAGGTGTTTTAATATGGCAAGCCAAATAAATCTCTGGAGCAATGCCCTCTATTTCTTTAGGTCATTCATGAAGTGGACAAAGTTGATTATAACTCTGAAAATTATAGAGATACTAGTAAAACAGTTACCTTTCGAAGAACTTCCAGACAAATGATCCTCTCTCAACTTGAAGTTTCCAGGACCATGAGGCATGGAACTTCGTAAGGATTGAACTGCATGAAAATTGAAATAACAAACCTAAAATGAGCTAGCTCCTCAAACTAGACAAGTGCAAAACTACAATGGTTTGAGTCATTTGACTAAGCTCTGAAGTAAAGAGAACTAATTTGTTTGGAAAATTGCTGGACCAGTAATCATGGAAAAGCTTTAAATCCGACCCTCTAGGCCTTACCTAAACTACAAGTCTATGAATGATGAAATAGACTCAACAGAACACAACACCATGAAACAAAGTGTGGAATATCACAGTGCCAAAAAGAAAGGTTGCAGCTTAGTCATCAAATGATGAAAAGGGACTAGCCATGAAATTCTATACATGTGAGAATAGCATAGGATGGTTTATAAATGCAGGAGCAGACCTCCCAGGTTTGCATAAATTTACTTACTCAACTACTCAATATATCAACTACTTCCATAACAAATAAAAAGAGTATAAGATCATTTCAGTTTTGCAATGAGTTTGCTGAAATTCAATATCCTACAAACGTAGACTATCGATGTTCTGGAAGGAGACAGTTGAGCAGCTTTACAAAGACTGATGGCAAGTTAACCAAGAGAAAGTAGATTAGAATAACAACAAGGAAGTTTTTGACATCTACCTCAACGATACATATCAAGAACATGTTACTTATGGTTCTTCAGCAGAACAGAGTTAACCAAGAGAAAGTAGATCAGAATACTAGCTAATTTTGCATCAGAATACTAGCAGAAATTAACAATGGCAAAAAACATGAAGTAACTGAAATGCAATAAAATGTATATACCTTGTTCAGGAAGCGTGTCACAGTCATTGAAGCTATCATAAGAACCTGAGTAGCCCATTCTTGATTTCCTCAGTTCATCTGAAGTTCGCGATCCAAGATCTCGACCATCTTCTGTGTCATCATCACCTTCAGATGCTGTCGAGGCAGATACCCAATCATTTACTAAATAATCTGCACCTCTACTTTTCCTCCCAAATTTAAATAACCGTTTAAACCCTTTAGACACATCTTTTTGTGGATGTGAAGCATTAGCGACAAGAACAGGTATCTGAGCACTCCCCCATTTTTTTCTCATACGGGCAGCATCAGCGTCCATCATTTGGTTCAATGGATGGGAATTCCATGATGCCGGACTTCCAGTAGGGGAGTTCACAGAAGCATCAAAGTCAGATGCTTCGTGTGCATAAGAAAATGAGTGTTGGATGTTTGAGATCCATGATCCTGGGCTTTCCCCTGGTGACTCCCGCACATGTCCTGGTGAAGGATCGAACTTGGAGGATATAGCAATAGATTTGTCGATATCTTGAGATAGTGATCTCAGAATATCAGCATTATCTGATCCAAGATGACCATTCTCACTATCTGATCCCACAGGAAAATTTGTGTCCTGAAGATTTCGTTCAGGAGATGTTCTGCTAGATTCCTCTTCATCATCTTTAAACATATTTGTTGAAGCCTCTTGTTGATCAACCAAACCTTCGGAATCTTCTTCATCTTTTAGAGCTTCAGGGTTTGTAAAGCCTTTCGGTTTAGACATACCTAACTCACTACTATTCTGAATTTTATTCATATTCTGCTCCATTTGCTCTTTTGGAAACTGTAAAGTTGTCAGATTGGCACCATCAGAGCTGGGAGGTGAGAGGTCATTCAACTCTCCAGAGATAACTAAGCTTTTTCTAGTGGAATGGGAGCTCCGTAACTTCTCCTCCTTAACGAGATTTGCCTCTTCAGTGGTGCTCTTGCTTCGAGTAAAAGTTATTGGCTGTGCACGGGAAGTAACCTTACTAACTCCTGCTGTAGGCTGTGTGTTTTCTTTTCTAAGGTCAGAGAAGTTAGGAACGGACTGTGCGAGTGGGTTTTCAGTCAGCGTCCTATGCCGAATGGAACCAGAGTTAATGGCCTTGGCAGAAGGCTTAGGAATTGTGACTGATGTTGTTCTAGGAACGGAGGATAATAAGCTTTTACTAAATGTGAGCTTCTTCGAGCTTGTAGAAGATTCATTGCCAGATAATGTATCGCTGTAGCATTTGTCTTGGCCATAGAGAACCTGATCATGCTCTCGTACATCTTCTGCATCTCCCTGATGTTCTACTGTCTTTCCCATATACAAAAAAAATAAAAAAAGAATAAAAGTAATAGGTCAAATGTACTACCAAGTTTCTGTATGATAATGAGAATAGTGGTGTATATAACCAAGAATGTAAGCGTCTATGATAAAAATATATATATAATATCCAAAAATAACTTTAATAAATGGACAAATTTGTTATAGCATCATTTAACAAGAAAGGAGTTTGGTACCTGCCCCTGGTTTTTTGTAGCGGAGTAAACATTAAATGATCTCATTCTCTCTACTCGACGATGAGCAAGAACTGAATCTCGTTTACCAGCAGATCCAGCAAGCTTCATCTTCATCTCAGCTTGGCTGCGTTCCAGGCTATCATGCATAGCCTTCATCTTTGCTTCTTTTTGGGCCCTCTTTGACCCCAAATCTTCCCTCAGCTTTGCATCCCGCTTTTGGATATATTTCTCATAGAACTTTCCTCTGGATTCTTCTGATGGGCTGACAGTGCCTACCTTCTGCTTCGTACTGTTGGAAGAATCTAAACTTTCCACCATCTTCAGAAGCAAATTAGAGTCAAGTTCTACTTCATTGCTCAAATTCTCACTTGGTATCTTCCCCACTGAGAATTGTTCAGCAAGACCCTCAGCCGGCCACTTTTCGGCAGACTTCAGCAGCTGAACATTGCCAGTTTTGCTTCTCGAAGTGGAAGATATTTGGTTTCCCTGAACCCTGAGCTTGTGTGCAGCAAATAGCTTTTCCAGTTCATCAGCCTTTATCTGCAGATCAACTTTCAGCTCGTTATTTCCTTTCACTGACCTCACAGCCTGAGCCTGTTCCACAGAAGTTGTGAGAGGAAGTTGAAGGACATCCTCCCATCCCTTAGCCTTCTTCTCTGAGACAGCCGGAATTTTTGTTCCTTGATTGGGCACCTTGTCATCTCTCCTTCCTTGCACCTTCTTTATCTGATCAGGAGCAGTTGTTCTCCCATGTAGCTGAGAACCTGGACCATCTTCAAAGGAAACTTTGAATGACATATGAGAAGGAATAGTTTCCTCTTTCCTCTCTGTAACTTTGAATGACATATGAGTAGTAGTTTCCTCTTTCTTCCCTGAGACGGTTGGAATTTTTGTTCCTTGATTGGGCACCCTGTCATCTCTCCTTCCTTGCACCTTCTTTATCTGACCAGGAGCAGTTGTTCTCCCATGGAGCTGAGAACCAGGACCATCTTCAAAGGAAACTTTGAATGACATATGAGAAGGAATAGTTTCCTCTTTCCTCTCTGCAACTTGATTTCCAGGATATGCTTTTGATTGGGATTGTGAAGACATATCGTTCTGTGGAGCAATCTCTTGAACCTTACCCAAGGAAGCTTTGACTTGAAACTGGGAATCCGAAGGATCTTTCGGGTTTGCTTCATCTTCTGTTTTTCCTGCAAATGTTTTTGCGGTTGAACGTGTTCGAGCCTTCCTAGTGACAGTATGAACTGCTTGATCATTTGATTCTGCCTTTGCAACTGTTGCTGGAACTGCTTTAGATTGAATTTGCACAGTTGCTTGATCTTTCATCCCACTATTTTGTGCTGCAACTCCATTAAATTGAGACAGAGAGGCGGTTTGGTCTTTCAGTTTAGCATTCTCCCCTGATTCTGAAGCAGGTTTGGAGGTGTCTTGGGTATTACTTTCATCACCGACTCCATCCTGATGTGCTTCACCCCCAAAATGACTAAATTCTTTCGGAGAGTCACCGTGGCCCTTGTCCATAGACAGTCCAGGCTGAGTTCTGGAGTTTGCAGTAGTATGTTCTCTCAACAAAACATCATCTCCATCTCTGTCCTTCAGAAAAGAACTGGTCTGGGCCTGGGATGAAGACAAAGTAGAAGATGAACATGTGGTTGTTAAGTTGTCATTAGGACCCGACCTAGGCCATGAATTTCCTGTGTTTTTTGGCACTACAACACCTTCTTCCATGTTACTTCCAGATTTAACCTGTGAATCAGCAGATGAAGTAGGAGTTCCAGCGGTACTTACACTCTCCTTTCTGTCACTGCTGATGCTGCTGCTAGTAAGATCAATACTCATATCACTAGCACCGCTCCATCTCCTCAATACCAACTTCTCCATAGACGCATCAGATGGTTGCCTCCGGTGTTCCCCCTTTCCAGCCACCATCTTATTGATTCCACCTCCACCAGAAGTGTTGCTGCTAATACTAGCATTTGTAGACTGTTCTTTCTTTTTGCTTTCAAAGAGGTTGATGCGGTCTTGAACACTCAACCGCCGGGACCCGGCTGAAGCTGGCTGAAGTGGCTCATCTAAGGATGCAACATTCGGAGATGCATCCTCCTTGGCCTTGCTCATATCTTTCTCCTTGAAGGACTGGGCAATGGGCTTCACCTCGGCAGCAGATTCCTGTAGTGATCGTTCACTGCTAGGCTTGCAAAGTTCATGCCCTGTGGCAATAGACTCACTGATGGATGGGCCAGAAGACTCAACCTCCATTTCATCAATTGACATGTCAGACCCTAAGGACGCACGAATGTTGACATCATCAATAGCCCTCCATTGCGGTGGTATTGGTGGAGGCGGTGATTGGGAATGATTTATCAACTCAGGCCGCCGCTGGCACAATGAGATGAACTTGGTACATGCTTCACTACAACACAAACATCACACAACATGTAAGAAAGGTCATTAGTTCAAATTTATTTATTAAAGGATAGATCCTATCATTATTCAGTCTTGATCAACAGTAACATCTTATCATTGTAAGGATTATTTGCAGATGCAACCCTTATACTATAGGGGTGTAGCTACATATCACCATTCACCCATGTTCTATTTATTATAAGATGCACCCTCAAGGTCCCATGATGGCATTATTTTCCATTAGTTTTTAAACTCTGTTGATATTTGGAGAGAAAAGAGATTATTGGAGTGATTACTCCCCTCACTCTATACTTTACTATTTATGGTGATGAACTAATTACAAGTTAGTCTCACAAGAAATGTAGGACTAAGAACATCTCCAACAGCTTCCCCATTTTATTGGTATTCACTTATGGAGAATTTTAGGCTTTTTTTTTTGTCCAACAGATTCCCCATCACATTCCCCAAAATAGGGATGGAGAAGGAAAAAAAGGGAGTCTTCCCCAAATCTGGGGCATTCTTCAAATATTTGGAGAAAGCTTGGTCATGAATGCAGCACGTTCTTCAAGATGGGATGGAGGAGAAAATAAATATAAAACAAAATCCGTAATTACAAAAAAACCATGGGGGCAGTTCCAATGCATAAGAGCATCCAAAAATAGGAATGTAGAATATTTTTATTATTATAATAAATGCAGGATTCTTTAAAATGGGGAAGCTGCTGGAGTTGGAGCAAAAATAATTTAAAGAATATGACTTTTGCTCCCCCATTTTGAAGAAAATTTTGGGAAAACTGTTGGAGATGCTCTAAACTAATACTCTTTTTTACTCTCTTCTAACACTCCCCCTAAGCTGGAACATATATATCATGCATGCCCAGCTTGTCACAAATAAAATCAGCATGTGTTCAACCAAGTGGTTTTGTAAGGATGTTTGCCAACTGATCTACTGTCGATACATGTTTTGTCGTAATGATTTTATCCTCGGGCTTCTTGCGGACTACATGCCAGTCAACTTCAATGTGATTGATTCTCTTATGAAACACGGGATTCTCAGCAATATGAATTGTTGATTTATTATCGTCATATAGATCCATGGGACATTCTGGAGGGAGACCAATTTCCGTCAATAGGTCTCTGATCCAAATCATCTCTAGTGTCACATTTGTGATAGCTCTGTATTCTGATTCTGCACTAGATCGAGATACAACACTTTGCTTTTTACTTTTCCATGATACCAGATTTCCTCTAAGAAAAGCACAATATCCAGTAGTCGATCTCCTATCAAAAGGACATCCAGCCCAATCTGCATCAGAGATGCCTGTAACTCTGGTGTGTCCTTGATCTGAGCAGAGAATTCCTCGTCCTGGAGCATTCTTCAAGTACCTCAAAATTCTCATTACTGCATCCAAGTGAGTAGTCCTAAGTGCGGACAAGAACTGACTTACAATACTGACTGCGAATGTGATGTCAGGTCTGGTCACTGTCAGATAATTCAGTTTCTCCACCAATCTTCTATACTATCCAATATCTTCAAGAAGCTCCCCCTAATCTAATAGTAGTTTTGAGTTCACATTCATTGGAGAATCACTGCTTCTGTATCATAACATCCCAGCCTCTAAGAGCATATCCAAGACGTACTTTCTTTGTGACAGAAGAATACCCTTCGTTGACTTTGCGACTTCAATGCCTAGAAAGTATTTTAGGGAACTAAGATCTTTAGTTTGGAAATGTTTTTGTAAATGCTTCTTCAGTCTGTCAATATCAGAAGCATCATCCCCTGTAATTACAATGTCATCCACATAGACAACGAGCAGAATTCGTTTTCCATTTTAAAATCGTCAGAAGACAGAGTGATCTTTCTGTGCACGACAAAGCCCAAATTCCTGAATAACCGATGCAAAACGTCCAAACCATGCTCTCGGAGACTACTTCAGACCATAAAGTGATTTCTTTAGCCTACACACCTTCGTATTCTCCCCTTAAGCAACAAATCCTGGTGATTGCTCCATGTAAACCTCCCCATCTAGAATACTATTAAGAAATACATTTTTGATGTCCAACTGATGAAGCGGCCAGTGATTTGTCGCTGCTAATGAAATAAAAATCCGAACAGATGTCATTTTTGCCATTAGAGAGATGGTATCTACGTAATCCAAGCCATACACCTGTGAATAGCCTTTAGCAATCAGTCGGGCTTTCAGTCGTGCCAAAATTACATCAGGATTTAACTTGACAGTGTACACCCACTTGCAGCCGACGGACCGCTTTCCTGATGAAAGTGAAACCAAATCTCAAGTCTCATTCTATCACAAGACCCTCATTTCTTCTTGCATCGTTTGGTACCAACCTGGAATAAATAGGGCTTCTGACACATTCTTGGGAACCAAATATGAGTCGAGAGAAGCAACAAAAAATCGAAAGGAAGAGGATAGGCAATCATAAGAGACAAAGTTAGAAATAGGATGTTGAGTACAACTTTGTGTCCCTTTTCGAAGTGCAATAGGAAGGTCGTCCACAGAAGGGGATAAATGTGCACTTACAGATTTAGGTTCTTCAGCCGGAGGACTTGGTGTTGAGGCCGACGTTGGCACAGGAGCAGGAGCGGAGCGACGATGATAAACTTGAATTGGGTTGTTATACCGTGCTGAGTGTTTGCCAGTAGCGCAAATAGTATTGTCAGCGAATAAACCACCACCGATAACCAGTGACTCTTGTAGGATCAAATAGTCATACTCATCCGGTGATAATGAAGATAGAGAGCTAGAATGACCGGGTTTATCTTCGAAGAATGTTACATCAGCAGAGAACACAATGTTACATCAGCAGAGAACACAAGGCGATTGAGTGATAGACAGAAACACTTGTAACATTTATGTTTTTGGGAATAGCCAAGAAAAATGCCCTTAAGAGGCCGAGAGACAAATTTTTGTTTATTTAGATTGTGATTATGAACAAAACATAGAGAGCCAAAAATCTTTGGAGGTAGCGGAAAGAGATTATCGTTAGGGTATAGAATCTTGAAAGGAATTTTATCTTGCAGAACGAAAGAAGACATTCGATTAATCAAATAATATGTTGTTAAGATAGCTTTCCCCAAAAATTCTTTGGGAACGTGGCGATGGAACAGCAAGGTCCGAGCAATATTAAGGAGATGCATAATCTGGCGTTCAGCAACTCTATTTTGCTGAGTGTAAAGACAAGAAGACTGATGAAGAATCTCATGTTGTTCAAGAAAACTAGTGAAATTACCATCCAAATATTCTTTTGCATTATCAGATCGAAAAATTTTTATCGAAGACTTGAATTGATTGACTATTTCAGAATAAAAGAGTTCAAATGTGGAAAAGACTTCAGATCTAGACTTGAGAAGATAAATCCAAGTAATACGAGAGTGATCATCCACGAAACTGACAAAATACTGAAACCCCAATTTAGAAGTTATTGGGCATGGCCCTATACATCAGAATGAACAAGATCAAATGGCTTAGCAGCCCTCTTATTGACTCGATTAGGATAAGACACACGATGGTGTTTTCCAAGTTAACATGACTCGCACTCTAATGAGGAAAGAGATTTGAACTGGGGATGAAGCAGCTTGAGAACAGAGAGAGAGGGATGTCCTAACTGACAGTGGTATTGTAGTGCTAATAAGTTGTCGATACATGCTAAATGCTTGGTGCCCAATTTTAGTTTATAATGACCGTTGTGCTCACGTCCCGTCTCAATCGTTTTCCTCATGAATAGGTCCTGAAAAACACAATGTGTGGAGAAGAATATCACTGTACAGTTTAGAGATTTGGTGATCTTACTAACAGATAATAAATTATAAGAAAAACTAGGAAGATAGAATACAGAGGAGAGAGGAAGACTACTAGAAGGATTAGTGTTGCTGACATCCTGAACAGGTGTACGTGAATCATCAAATAATATAACTGAATTAGATGTAGGGCTGAAAGATGGCAAAATACTTTGATTCCCAGTCATATGATCAGTGGCACATGTATCTATAATCTAAGTATTAGACGAAGACGATGTAAGTAAAGAGAAAGAGGTACCTGCATTTTTTATAGTGGATAAGGAGGAAGATGATGTTTGTGAATTCTGGTACTGCTAAAATAATTGAAATTACTAAAATTGACGTTGCAGCTCCGCATCATGAAAGACTGACTATAGTTGACTGTCATTATCAGATGAGATCAAGTTGTCCTGATCAGTCATGTAAGCACCATTGGTTTTTTTTCTAATTCGGGATAATTATATTTGAGATGTCCTGACTGGTGGCAGTAGTCATAAGTCTTCATTAAATCATTGTCATGAGCATGCCCGTCTTGGGATGGACCTCCTCAGTCACCTCGTTGACCACCTCAACCCCCAGAATGACCAGTGTGGTAACCTCCTCTCCCTTCAAAGTTTCTTCTACCCCTTTCAGGACCACCATTATGACCCCCTCGTCCATAAGACTGTCAACTCTGAGTGGCAAGGGTAGAGCGATCCGCAGTTGATGTTGGTGACTGTGCAAGGACAGCGTTCTTCAGAAAGTGACAAGTCTCAGCCAGATAACCAATAGCGGAGCTCCCTATGATTTGTGATCTAGCAGAGTAAATGGAATCTAGGGTACTTAAGTAGGTGAGTACCATAAGTTTATTCTATTGGTTTTGCATCTGTTTTACATCCCCAATAATAGAAAAAATCTGATGAAGTTTCTCAGTCAGACGATTGAACTCACCATAATGATCATTCATGCGTTTATCATCATGTTTCTTACAAAACAGCTCTTGAATAACTTCATATGCTCGATTAATATTACTGCTACCCCCATAAAGATCTTGTAAAAAACATCAAAGTTTCTTCACTGTCATACAATGAATGACTAAATCCTGAATTTTAGGTTCTATCGTATTAAGAATCTGATGTAAGAAGACACTATCATCTAATGTCCAAGACTCCGGTGTCGGAGTAGGAGGGTCCGTCAACAAATGGTCAGTTTTGCCTCGGCATGCCACGTAGATTTTAATAACACGTTTTTACTGAAAATAGCTAATTCCATCAAGTTTTCGGTCAGTGATTCTACCAGAAAATATCTCTGAAACTTTCGTCTAGACCGTTAACTCAGAATTCTTGAGTTCCTCAGATCCGGCCATCATGAAACAGACGAGTAAAGATCAAGACGATACCCTTCACAAGTTGTACTCCACAATCAAAGCAAGTCCAAGTTCAAGATAATAATACTTGAATTAGCCAATGGCGAAGGTTAACAATGTAAGAACATGAAGATTAACATACAAGAACCCGAAGGTTAAAATACAAGAACCCGAAGGTTATCATGAAACCCGAAGGTTAAAGTTCAAGAACCCAAAGGGTAATTTTTTTTTAGATAACAATTCGCAGATCTAAGTCAGATCCTAAAACAAAGGGACATGGCGGCGGCGATCGACGGCAGGCGGGAGTTGTCGAGGAAGATCGAATCGGTGAAGTGGATCTGCTCTGGAGTTTCCTCCGTGGACCACTGATTTAACGATCCGAGACGGACGTGAAAAAGATTTGACGTTGATGTTTCGATGTGAAAACAAGAACTGAAGTGAATATATTAGCAATGTAAGATAAACACTATTCTCAAGATCAAATCCAAGTTTTTGAACTCGAGGAAACACTGAGCAAGGTAAGATATCCAAGTTGTCAAGGAAGCAAGTAGCGGCGAACAAAGCAAGCGGCGGCGGCGGCAAGCGGCGACGATGACGGACGAAGCAGGCAGTGACGAAAATTAGGGTTTAGGGCTTAGGAGAAGGAACAGGGCTGCTAGAAGAGGGAGGAGTCGAATCTGGAGGAGAGAGGGAGGAGTCGGATCTGGAGGAGAAAGGGAAGAGTCGGATCTGGAGGAGTCGGATGAGGGATTAGGGTTAGGGTTAGGGTTAGAAGAGGGATTAGGGTTTAGGGTTAATGTTGGTTTGGCGGCTAGGGTTTAGGAATTAGGGTTAGGGTTAGGAACCTTGCTCTGATACCACGTTGATATTTGGAGAGAAAAGTTTATTAGAGTGATTACTCCCCTCACTCTATACTTTACTATTTATAGTGATGGACTAATTACAAGTTAGTCTCACAAGCAATGTGGGACTAAACTAATACTCTTTTCTACTCCCTTCTAACAAACTCAAAGTGGAATCTCATGGAAATACTCTGGGTAAAATCTAACGGTATACATCACATGATTACCACAGGAGTTTAAAACTGAAGCCAAGGATGTGCATGCTACTAAAAAATAGATAAGGGCAATAGGTACACCCTCATAGTACAGGGAGAGCATCTTTAAAATTTAAACAACCCTTTAAGCGCTGTAGACTACTTACTTGCTTAGTTTGACACATACCAAGATGATAGACATAACAGAGGTTGTAGTAGCAGACTAAGTTAATCAATCACAATAACATTAAGATAGGAAAAGTATCTAGGTCTTCATTAGTCTTCCATAGATGGATATATTGCGTTAAAAATGTAAAATCCAAGTGAGCACCAAAATTAGGACCTAGTTACATCAAGAATATAAGTTGTCTTAAATGGCAAGTTTTTCCTGTGTTGTAGACAAACTAAGAAAGCCTTCTTCTGACTGCTGTCCTATTAGTCCTATGAGTTTCCTAATACATAGTCACTGTGAGCATTATGTATGAACTGGACACTTCTTTCCCAAGAAACTACAGTCTCATAAGTCATACCAATAGCAAAACCCCATCGAGATCTGAGACTTCTTTCCCACGAAACTACGGTCTCATATCAATAGCAAAACCCCATCGATCGATCGAGAGATCTAGAGACTTTACATGATCACACGTACAGAAGTTGCATGATTTATAACTTCAACCTTTTACAGTAACACCCCTAAATCTCTCACAGGGTCAATAACTAGCCATTCATGTTATTTAAACAATCTGAGATATGTATTTTCGATCAAACTAGAGGAAATAAAGTTACATATCTCAGAATGAATGAGCACACTAAAGGTTTAAAGGCAGCTTTACATGGTGAAGGAGACGGAGAAAAAGAAAAGAGGAGAAGAAATAACCATGGTTAGTAAAAACAAGAAGTTACTTTAAGCGAAGGGCACCAAATCGATTGGCAAACATGAGAAGTTCCGAAACAGTGTCAGGGGTGAAGCCTGCAGCTGAAGCCCGAGCACAAGCTGTTCCCAAGTCTTGCTTAACAGCATTGAGTCGCAAGTCAATGGCCTTGAGGAGCTCTTTCCTGCAGATCAAACCATAGGGAAGTGATTGTTTCATTATAATAGTGCTAGAATGGCAGACTAAATTCAAATGGTAATTTATAATATTACAGTAACTATTTGGAGCTCTTTGCTTGGTACATGGAAATCTTGCAAAAGTTCATGTACATGAAAATGTTGCACAAAAGTAAATGAAAAGTAACTGTTGCAGAAAAATAAAGTGACAGGCAACATACTTTGTTATGTCTGCAGCAGCTGCGGCAGCTGGTTTGTTTTTACCTGAATTGAGCTCCAAATAAAACATTATCAGTGAGAGAAGGCCATCTACCAAACCATGATTAACAGAAAAATTCTAAAATGATGAATTAGATAAATGTATTTTTAGTTCTATATTCTTCATTTTTCATTGTTTGTAATGCAACTGTGATAATTGTCAATTTTGTAGACCCCAGAAATGATGGGAAACGGCAGGACTCATATGCAAGCTTCAAGAGTTTCATCATGGCTTTGTGGCAGAAAGCAGCAAGGTTTATTGAAATTTAGAAGAAAAATCAGAAAATAAAAAATACATAGCTAATAAAACAATTTAAGTAACAGTAGAAGTTTAATGCCAACCAACAACAACAAAGCCTTATCCCCATATTTTGTAGTCGGCTACATTTCTCACATCATAAGGGGTTATCCCCAGCCTCCGACTCCAAAACAAAAACAAAACAAAAAACAAAAAAAAGGGAAGAAAAATTAAGTTAACCACTATCATGCCCCTCTTAATTATTTCTAGCGAAGTTATCTTAAACCTACATTTACTCCTTCGTCCCCTGAGTATAATCTTATCACGCCTTGTAGTTGGGCCATCTACCGAGATTGGTAATTAAGCTCTTTTAAATGATGGGCTCTAAAGCAGAGGGATTTAAGCAGAGTTTTAGCATGCTTTTTAACAACAATGATCCGTATACCAACTAGCAGATTCTAGGCGGATCATTCATATATGAAACTTGTGATTGGCTGCAGAGAAAAAATTTATTCAAATGCCAAAGAATAAAGAAACTTCGCATATAAAGCAAAAGCTGCAAGACAGGTTTTTCCTTTAATATGCATTTGACATCCATATTTTTAACAACAATGGATTTAAACAGAGTATAATCTTATCACGCCTTGTAGCTGGGACATCTAAAGATTAGTAATTAAGCTCTTCTAAATGATGGGCTCTAAAGCAGAGGGATTTAAGCAGAGTTTTGGCATGCTTTTTCAACAACAACGGTTCGTGTACCAACTAGCAGATGTAAGAGGGATCATTCACATATGAAACTTATGAATGGCTGCAGAGAAAATTTTCATTAAAATGCCAAAGAATAAAAAATCTTTGCATATAAAACACTGAACTTAAAACCAAGGCTGCGAGACAGATTTTTTTCCTTTAACATGCATGATGCATTCAACATCCATTCATAAGCAAATAAGGTAGCTTGTAGCTTGTACAGATGCTCCTCAACTTTCTAAATTCTAAGTTATGCAGCTATGCATATATTCTGCTTATCCAATGTTTTCGCTTTTTGATGCCCAATTCTAAAGCTAAACATGGCTAGAAAGTGCCCAATGCCTACTAATATATTAAACTGCTAATGTATAGAACTAATACCACTCATTGACAAGTTAATGGTTCCATGACCCTCCATAGACCATGTAGACATTTGACTTTTACCACGATTGGAAAAATCATGCAACCAGGTGGCAATGTTGGATATGAGCATTGAGGGTAGAAAAATGTTACGAATGAAACTGAAGCAGGACATAGAGAAGAAAATTGGGTATGGAGCCCTAACAAAAAACAAAATTTAGAAAATGTATTACTTCTATCAATGTATTTTATTTGGACTGTAATAAAGGAAGTAGTATACAGTACAAAGTGGTGAGGCGACATTCTGACATCCTCACTATCTATCTGGTACCAGTTAAAAGATAAATCTACTTTTGTATTTCCATAACATATACCATTAGGTTATTATGAATCAAGCAAATATTTTAATATTTGCAAAACCAAAAAAACATAATTTATAACAAATGTAAATAAAACAGAATTGACATAAAAAGCTTACCAGAGAGCTGATCTCCTGCCCCCTAAATGAAGAGGAATTTTGATTTCAGAAAGTAGTCCGCAATGTTTAACTTGATCAATTTTTAAAACAAACATGATATATAGTATTACCTGAGAATATATTTTTCTGGCTCCTTCCAATTGTGACATCTCTGCATCAAATGTATTGACCAACTCCAACACCTCAGGAGTGCTGACAAAACGAACAAACCTACAAGTATAGTTTTTAGAAACACTTTTCAGAGAGTTTCTCAACTATCAAAAAGGAAAATTGCTTGGTGTATAAGGCTCCATTGAAGGCCGGCCACAATCTGTATGAATAGTTGTCTCTGAGGCGACCACAAGAAAAAAAATGAAAAACATGCTACCAAGTTCAGTTCGCCTATAGAAAGAAATGCATTCTTGATCATAGTATCCAGTTTCTTTCAACTAAGGAGCAAAGCTCCACAAGACAGGTTTTTCCTTTAATATGCATTTGACATCCATATTTTTAACAACAATGGATTTAAACAGAGTATAATCTTATCACGCCTTGTAGCTGGGACATCTAAAGATTAGTAATTAAGCTCTTCTAAATGATGGGCTCTAAAGCAGAGGGATTTAAGCAGAGTTTTGGCATGCTTTTTCAACAACAACGGTTCGTGTACCAACTAGCAGATGTAAGAGGGATCATTCACATATGAAACTTATGAATGGCTGCAGAGAAAATTTTCATTAAAATGCCAAAGAATAAAAAATCTTTGCATATAAAACACTGAACTTAAAACCAAGGCTGCGAGACAGATTTTTTTCCTTTAACATGCATGATGCATTCAACATCCATTCATAAGCAAATAAGGTAGCTTGTAGCTTGTACAGATGCTCCTCAACTTTCTAAATTCTAAGTTATGCAGCTATGCATATATTCTGCTTATCCAATGTTTTCGCTTTTTGATGCCCAATTCTAAAGCTAAACATGGCTAGAAAGTGCCCAATGCCTACTAATATATTAAACTGCTAATGTATAGAACTAATACCACTCATTGACAAGTTAATGGTTCCATGACCCTCCATAGACCATGTAGACATTTGACTTTTACCACGATTGGAAAAATCATGCAACCAGGTGGCAATGTTGGATATGAGCATTGAGGGTAGAAAAATGTTACGAATGAAACTGAAGCAGGACATAGAGAAGAAAATTGGGTATGGAGCCCTAACAAAAAACAAAATTTAGAAAATGTATTACTTCTATCAATGTATTTTATTTGGACTGTAATAAAGGAAGTAGTATACAGTACAAAGTGGTGAGGCGACATTCTGACATCCTCACTATCTATCTGGTACCAGTTAAAAGATAAATCTACTTTTGTATTTCCATAACATATACCATTAGGTTATTATGAATCAAGCAAATATTTTAATATTTGCAAAACCAAAAAAACATAATTTATAACAAATGTAAATAAAACAGAATTGACATAAAAAGCTTACCAGAGAGCTGATCTCCTGCCCCCTAAATGAAGAGGAATTTTGATTTCAGAAAGTAGTCCGCAATGTTTAACTTGATCAATTTTTAAAACAAACATGATATATAGTATTACCTGAGAATATATTTTTCTGGCTCCTTCCAATTGTGACATCTCTGCATCAAATGTATTGACCAACTCCAACACCTCAGGAGTGCTGACAAAACGAACAAACCTACAAGTATAGTTTTTAGAAACACTTTTCAGAGAGTTTCTCAACTATCAAAAAGGAAAATTGCTTGGTGTATAAGGCTCCATTGAAGGCCGGCCACAATCTGTATGAATAGTTGTCTCTGAGGCGACCACAAGAAAAAAAATGAAAAACATGCTACCAAGTTCAGTTCGCCTATAGAAAGAAATGCATTCTTGATCATAGTATCCAGTTTCTTTCAACTAAGGAGCAAAGCTCCAAAACATACCTACACTAAGTAAGGTGATTGCTATCAGGATTACACATTGTTGAACATAATATGACCCACTAACCAATCGAAATCAGATTACATGATTAAGAAGAATTGAGATTATTGCAATATCTTGTATTAACCTAACCATAACCAGGGGTCAAATATATCAAACCTTTCGAGGGTTCCCTTATTGAACCAAGTCCCAGCATTCTTCCGCTTTTCTGCTTCGAGCTTTATTGACTGAACTGCTTGGTTCGCCTGCTCTTCAGCAACCTTCAAATGAGTCAAGAAGGGCTTCAATAACCCAGAAGCAAGCTTCTCAGTCTTCCCGCCTCCCGAAACAAACAACTCACACCTGCCACAATCCAATTTTTTTCACCAAAAAAAAAATACCAAAAAGATGATTTTTCATACAGATTTTCAAGAAAATACAGCAAATTGTTGCGTTTTTAACGAAAATTACGGAAGAATTTTTAACGCCCACCTCGTTCTTCTTGGTGATAACTGGAACTGAGCATAATCAAGAACAGTATCAGAATTCATCTTGCTATTTGCATCAACCAAAACCCTACAAACCTGCAAGAATCAAAAAAAAAAAATCGTAGATCTACCAAATTGACATCACTCGTGGATCTAAACTTCTACCAAAACCCTGAAAGAACCTAATTTCTCTCGACTCTCAATCAATCGAGACAATGCCGAGATCTTCCAAGGGAGCGATCGAGTTTGCCTATCGGATTCGGGTCGATCAAAACCTCAACAAGCCTGAAGCACCAGGATCAGGTTTGGAGCTCGATCATCGATCTCGTCGACGAGCATTTCACCCCCCCTCGCTCTTTCTCTCTCTAGAATTTCAACTACAAGGGAGTTGTGGCGTCAATTCGAAGCGATGGGAGTTGGTGCTTTGCTTGCCTTCACTTTCTCTCTCTTCGACTGTGATGCTGATGATGAGAGAGAGAGAGAGAGAGAGTGGGTAGAAGTGAATTTTCAGACAAAGATTGCCCCTTGCTTTTGAGGGCAATTTCAGATGAGGGACTATTTTGCTTGGTGTATGTTGACGAAAACGCCCCTGTGTCTATCAGTCCTTTCTTTTATTTTTTGTCGAAATATGCAATTTAGAAGTAATAAATATAATTATAGCATTTGTTAGCGAATGAAGATGATGAGAGAAATCATTGTGTGCTTTTTTGTTGAAGGTTGGTTGAGAAAGGAATATTGATCGGTTTATTTACCTTAGATTTAATAAATGGAATTGATTGTCCATATAATCATCAAAATATTATGATGTTGCAATTTCTTTTCCTAGTCAAACAAAGAGATGAATGCAGACATGACACCAACAAAACAATTGGAAGGATAATAAGATAGATATATGTGATCTACCATCATCGTCTTCCTATTATGAAAAGCGAAATTTTGATTTGAAACACCCATGCAAAAAAAAATTTGCGGTTGAACAAATAAGGCTCTGTTTGGATACCATGGTGTTTTACTTGTTTTCATGGTGTTTTTGTCAAAAGCAAAACGCTATGGTGTTTTATGAGCTAAATCATCCTTAAACAAAAAACACAACACTTATTTCAAAAAATATTTTTTGGGTGTTTTAAATTTAGTGTTTTGGTTTTGAGTTTGAGGATGTGTTAATATAATATCTAACATAATATATTAAATATAATTAATATATAGTTATTATCGATATATTTATTATATTATATTATATGTTATAGTATACTATATTATAGTTAATCTAATATACTAGTAATATTTATTAATAATATAATATAATAAATATATCGATAATAACTATATATTAATTACATTTAATATATTATGTTAGATATTATAAAAATAATAATTAAAATATCTTATATATTAATGTGATAACATATTAAATACTAGTATTTAATATGTTGTTAATGTATTATATAATAATAAATAAAATATAGTTAAACTAATAAAAAATAATTAAAAATTATTAATAAAAAAAATATTACAACGATATAATAATATATTATACAATATCATAGTCATTATAATTTTATTAACTTTTAAATGAATATACTGTAATAAATTAAATAATTATAAAAATAATTAAATATAGTAACATATTAATAATAATATACTAATAGCAGTAAATAAGATATAAAATATTAAGTATATTATAATAATAAAGAATATATATATTACAAAGTAAAAATAACTTTTAATATTAAAATAAATATTTTGTTTAAAAATGTTAATAGTAAAATAAATATATACATAACATACATAATATTTATTATAGCCATAGATAATATATATTATTAAAGTATTATTAATAAACTCAAATATATTAAAACTATAATATATTATATAATATTAAAATATTTATAATATGTTAGTTTATTAATAATATACTAGTAAGTAATAACATAATACAACATTTTAATAATTTTATATTATATTAATAATAAAATAATATTATTTTAAAATATTATATAATATATAACAATTAACAACTTGATATACCAAAATAATTAAATATGTTATTATTTAAAAATAATATGTAATAATTGTAATATAATAAAACACATTAAAGTACAACATAATATTATAATACATTATACAACATTATATTGTATTATATTTAATATTTATAATACTATAATAATGTAAATTAAATATTATAACATTCTATTTATTATATTTTTTATTATCATGAATATATAATATAGTAATAATATGTTTAATACTAATGTTGTAACAAGTCAAGCTAGTGTTGACAAAAAATACCCAACATGATGTTTTGAAAACACATTTATTCCTTTATACAAATAAGAGGATCAGAGATTCACTGTTCATGCTACAGTAAAAACTACAGTAGCATTTACTGTAGCTAATAATTAATTAAAAACATTATTGTAGCACACGGGTACACTGTAGCATCTAAAAGTACTGCAGCAGAGCGGGATACTGTAGCACTGACAAAAATTCAAATCATGTCGTATTAAAAAGTGGGATTACTGTGGCAAAAAAAATACCGTGCTTTGCACGGACCGCAAACTAGTTTAGAGGAAAACACAACACCATAGTATTTTTTTATAAAAACACAACTAAAAAACATCATGGTATCCAAAACGAAGCCTAAATGTATCTATTTGAGATTTCATCAGGTAATATATTTGGCTGGCATTAATTGTTATTTTTCTGCGGCCACTGTAAAATTTCACTGATTGCACAACGAAACATGTTTAATAGTCATTATTTATTCTTATCATCAGTACTATACTAATAAAATAACAATCTAAAGTTGAACTTTTTGCCACTTGTCCACTTGTCAAATCCTAAAGCTTTTACCTATTTAATTGCTCTACCTGAAAAAACTTCATGACTATTTAGTTTCCCTTAATTACCACTTCCTATTTTTCTTACCCTTCCCTTCTAAATAAATCTTCTATTAATCCTCTCTCTCTCTAAGAAACCTTTTCATGTCCTTGCTCAAATTCCTAATGAAGCATTTATTATATTCTTCATTTGATATTCCCTATGAACAACACATTATTCTATCTTCAAATATGTTGTTTTTTACTTAAAAATTTTCCATAAATAAAGGCTTCAAATGTGAATATGTTCCTTCTTCTACTTGCCAATCCTGTCAGTAATTTAATTTCTATATGGAATTTATTTTTTTAACAGTTTCATCTTCAAAATGAACTTTGTTATTGTTATATACTTAGTTTCTAAGTTCAAAGTTTCTAAGCAAAAGTCTACATCGCAGGGTGCTATTTTTGATGAAGTTCTATGGCCCAACAATATTTGATGTATGATGACGGGAGTACGATGGGTTGGTGATTACAATATTAATAAAATCAACAAATATCAGCACATTCCGAAGCATGACAAGGCGCTCCAAAAATCCTAGTTAAAGGCTTGTTTGGATTGAGGGGAATGAGGGTGAAGGGAAGTTAGGGGAACCATTCACCTCCATTCATCTTGTTTGGGAACACTTAGGAGGTGAAGTTAATTCACCCTAGTTCCCCTTGGTTCACCCCCTAAGACCCCGTTTGGCAAAGGGTTAAGGAGGAGGGATTAAAGAGAAGGGTTAACTTAGTTAATCCATCGTGAAGGGTTAAAAAAATTCTAAACCCGTTTGGATACAATAGTTAAGACAAGGGGTTAAGTCTTTTGTGTTTGGCAAATGAAGAGGGGTTAAGGAGATTAATCTCATTATATTTTAAAAAAATACCACTTTTGCCCTTATTGAAGATTTATAAATAATTACATCATCAAAAACGAAAAAATAGACTAAATAAACACATTCTTATCTCCATAGTCCTTCAACAAATATTGATCTACGAAATGACTATATAAATATCTGCGAAACTTACAAAAATAAATATCTGCGAAACTTACTAAATAGTGGACTTGATGATATCATCCACTTGGCACTAAATTTTACTTCATTCTGTTATTGAGCAATCAAACATATTGAATAATAATACTCCTGCTGAGTAAACAAAGTGAAATAGCAAAATAACCGGCTCTTGGAAATGGACTACATGTTTATTCCAAAAAAGTTAGCAATCAAACATCGACTACTTGAATAATAATACTCAGGAGCTACTTGCAAACAACAGCAACAACAATACTCAAGAGATTTACCTTATTACAGGTTCATCATATCACATCTAAGCATAACAATAACTTATGCTTTAATATTCGACACAATGGGACATATAAGAAAACAAGACATAATGGGACCTCCTTATACTTTGATATTCGACAACTACAAATATCAATTATTCCAAAGCTGTAAAGCAGTTCTATTGCGGAGTTGCTCACCCCTTAAACTTTCATCTGCACCAACCATGTATTGGGGGTCTTCTTCTTCCTCCTCATCTTCATCCTCATTCATCTCTAATACATTGAGCATATTAAAGTATTTATCATTTCCATGATGCCTTGCAATAAAATTATGAAGAACACAACAAGCTATGACGATTTTGACTTGAGTTTTATAAGGAAATGGAGCTAGAACTTTCAAAATTTTGAATCTTTGCTTTAAAATTCCCCATGCCTTCTCCACTGCATTGCGTAGTTGTGCATGTCTATGATTAACCCAGCACTTTGTTGATGTATAACCTGAGACTCCCCTCTGGAATTAAAAACCTGGTTACTACATAAACCATCCTAATAAAAATATGCAAAATGTGAAACAAATAGATTTATACAAGTAAACATCAAGCATGGTGCCTGTTGAGCCTCCAATTAACAGGACCTGCATAAACAGTAAACATCAAGGGAATCAAAGATTTATACAAGTTAAAATACTTCTTTGATTCATTCACCTAAAAATGAAACAAAAAGATTCATGCCATGTTGTAAAATATATCGTCAAAACTGCAAATCAAACGATGAAATTAGATGGCAAACGGAAAGGTACAAGACAACTTGGGCTGTTCCCAGGTCACAGTATCTAGTACAGACACTATCTTCTTTGGAGGTCAACCATGAATAGAAATTTTCCCTTCCTTTGGACTAATTTCATAGGGAAGCTCTCAAGTTTGACTTAAAAGCTAGGGTTGCACCCTTTTAAGCACTCTAATTAAGCAATTCAATATTTTATTAGAACTACTAACATGTCCTAAATAAAAATTCTAAGACATTCAAAAACGCAAACAAGGTTAAGGATTCTTTTATAGGTGAACAATGTGGTTCATTCCATCCATACAGAATGGCGTACTCTTGTAAAAAGACATTTGAATCTGGCCCAGTATCAGATCACATGCACGTATCTGATCTAAATTAGTAGTCCTCTGCTAACAATTTATTGGCGCATAAAAACAAACAATCATATATGAAACATGAAAATATTGCAAAAAAAAAGCGAGAGGTCTGCTTCAAATACGGGCATGGGAGCCAGCAAGAGCATGTTCTGATAAACTGTTAAATGTATAAAACCCATGTACAAATAATATAATAGTTTTAAATATATAAAATTCAAATTTAATAAAACTAGAAATTAAAAAAATACCTTTATCAATGCCTCCCAATCTTTTGCAGTAGGTGCAATCACCATATTTTTACCTTCATCCTATCAATGCCTCCCAATCTTTTGCAGTAGGTGCAATCACCATATTTTTACCTTCATCCCAACCCCAACCTGATTTATTTCACCATATTTTTACCTTCATCCCAACCCCAACCTGATTTATTTCGGAGTTTGTAATTAAGGGAATATTGTTTTTTTAAAATTTTATAACGATTTTGCATTTGTAGTTTGCCTCTGTCCTTTTGTCCAGTCCTATCTTTATACTCATCAGTAACATTTTTGCCGTTGCATCACATGATTCTTTTTTTACATGACTGCACGCAGTGTTTTGCAAATGATTGATGTGTTGATGAGTACTCTACACCGTCATTTCCTTCATTAAGTATTTTCCATCAAGAGTCAAGTTTGGAGAAAGTATTGATTAAGAGAGACAGGTTTTATGGATGAATTAGTTAAAGCTAGTTATGAGTCTAGAAGAGTTTCCTTCATCAAGAGTCAAGTTTGCAAATAGACTGCATGTCTAAGTTGCAAGGTTTCATTTTCACAAATAAATTGCTAAATGAACTAATCATAATATATAATATTTTCTCTAACAAACGGTATAATTTGAAAAGCTTTTCTACACAACTGTTTGAAGGATAATCACTTGGAAAACCAAAAGATAAACTATTCATCCCTCATCGCTTAAAGCATAACCAAAGCGTGCAATTTTTACATGACTCCACACAGTTGATGGTATCAAAGCAACTCGGACTCCAAGCCACCCAAGCCACTGGACATGCAATTAAATTTTAAAGAGGGTTTAGAAGCTATACAATAGTGTAAAATAGTCATGATTTTGACCCGTGAAAAAGGCACTTCATCTGTGGGGGGATTCTAGAGTTTAAAATTATAACCCTCAGCCTTCACCACAACCTCACAGTTTTGGTGTAATGGAAGGGCTTGAAGAATATCGACATAATTGACATAAGCAAAAAATAAATGATGCAAGAGATGCGAGGATGGCAAGAATTCCTAAAACTCAAATGATGGTGTCAATTTCAAGAGCTTCAAAGAACTTAAGACTTCTGTCAAAGAAAAAACATTTCATTCATTCTGATATAAACTAAACTAGCAGAGGTCAAGTAAGCCTAAATACCCAACAATTAAAGTGCAACTCTTTGATCGAAAGACTACAAAAATCAGCCTTGGAGTCAAATTCCAATGGCAATCGGACATTTAACCATCTAATCAAAATCCCAATGTTGATCAAATCCAAATCAAAAACACCTCCATAAAAAATAAACAGTGCTAGTATCTCAAACTATACCTTAATACATGAATTGCCCAATAAGGCTTAAATGACATCAAAGATAACCCCAATCACATTGTGCTCATCAGAAATTACCTACAAGCCGTGAAAATTTGAGCCCTAGCCTGCATAAAGCATATCAAATGAAAGATCTTGATCTCTCAACACGCAGGATGATCTATCATAATCCTTCAATCTTTGATCGATTGAGATTTAATCGTGCAAGAAAGAGCTGAAACCCTAGAAATTGGTGATTTTTTGGACAAACGCGTTGAGAAATGAAGAGAAGGAGTGAGAAAACAGAGGAATTCAAAGGATTGGGGATTTTTAAGACGAGAATATCCTCCAGCATGCTTTTGATAAGAGCAAACAACATCATCAACCAAAGATATTCATATGAACATAATTGATTGTATGGCAAAGATTTGGAAACTAATTCGATATTGCAAAATCAACATACCTCTATTTTCTTTGCCTCCCGTCACTTGAGATCCCATTTGCCTGAAAATTCTTCTCTTGTTCTCCTAAAATACTCCTATTAATAGCTGGGGAAAAGTAGAGGGAACTTTTTAGAGGGAAAAATTGGAGGGAAAGAAGTAAGATAAATAAATTTGGGGATGAAATTGCTCGCCTGAAAGATCGCTACCTCCTATAATTCCGCTGTTGAGATCGGCGAGATCCAAATTGGCAAAATTCCACCGCCTACCCTTCGAGTGAGAAGGCGGAACAAGCCTTGTTCCGCCTATCTAGAGGGAATTGTTAACCCTTCAATTCACGGGATAAATGAGTTTTATCCCTCACGTGAGGGTTAATTAATCCTTGAGCTTTTTTTTCTGTTTGGCAGGCTAATGAAGGGTTAAACTCCCTTAACCCTTCATTTATACCTTTGCCAAACATAGTATAAAAATTGTTACCCCCAAATTGGGGTGTAACCAAGGGGAAGGGAATTCCCTTCCCTCCCCTTCCCTTCCTTTCACTCAGTTTCCCTTAACTTTCCTTCACCCCCTACAAATCCAAACAGGCCCAAAGTCTCTATATGGTACAAACGAAGATGACTTAAAAAGTTCTTTTAGAATATTAAAGACATTAATTAAGCTTTGCAATATATACAGAACTTGGTACATTCTATATGGGGCTTAATTACCGGATTGGTATTAAATATCTCGAAATTTTGTGAAACAAAAAGAACATTTTCAATTGGATGAAATGTTTAGCTATGCCTTACATCCAATAACGGTGTATTTGGTTTGGTGTAGTTGGAACCCAATGTTGTTTTAACAACATCAAAATATTGAAGTGTTATTTGGTTAGATTTTGTTGTAATACCAAAAGGTCATTGCAATAGCAAAATAAACAAAAAAAATTTAAAATAAAATGGAGGCGTTGGAACAACACTCAAATTCAAAAGTATTTTACACTAAAGCGCCATAAACTTTCAACATTTTGTATAAAACCCCAATATGTTTCAAAATCGGCAATTTTATCAAATTGGTATATTTTGTTGACCCTTAGTGTCACATTGGTATATTTTTTTACTCCGGCAATAATTTGGTTTATTATGTAGATTACGGAGACAAATTAGCCTATACTTTGGCCGGAACCAAGATTCCAGCCAAATTGAGTCACGTGACTCCTCGCATATAGCTGATGTGGATTAGGTAGGCTTACATCATACATGGCAATGTAACTGAA